CTTTCTCTCTCCCTCCTTTCTTTCCTCTTATTTTCCTTCCTTCCTTCAATCCTTCTTCCCTCCCTTCTTTCTTTCCTCTCATTTCCCTTCCCTCCTTCCCTCTCTCTACTTCAGTGCTTGCTCCCGCTCCACAAAGACGGCTGGCTGTGTGCAACGAAAGCAACAACCCAGCCAACAGGAGTCCATCGCAACGGCACACGGGAACGTCACCGGCTCCCGGGAGCCCTCCGCTCCGTCTCCCATCCACAGCAAGGCGTGGGGATGTTCCGTGTTCTGATGACGCCACTGTTGCAACCCAAGGCCCTCTGGCACACTTTCCCATTTTGCGGCTTTTCAGAAAGGCTGAAGGGCCGATGCCAGCCCTCAGGGTTTTCCATGGCACGTGCCCCCAAAGCGTAGGAGGCCGCCTGTCCCCTCTAAAACCTCAGGCCCTTGTCCAAATCCTCCCCCCCCGTCCCTGCTGAGATTTGCACACTCAACAGGCCGATTGGATTCTTTTGGGTAGTGCAACGACTTTCTCCGTGCTTTCGCGGCACAGTTTTCTTATCCCTGTGGTTGTGCGGGGGGGGGGGGGGGGGGAATCCGCGCAAATCCCTCGTCCCATTCCCCTCGAACCAGCCAGCAACGTGGACTCCCCGGGGATAAAAGTACAGAGGGATCCCATGCATTGTTCCTATTGAGATTTGCACACTCAACTCGCCGATTTGATCCTTTTGGGGAGTGCAACAACTTTCAAGGATGGGCAGCAACAACACGTCAGTTGTGACCTGTGACACCGGTGATACAAATGGTTCAAATTAAATTGTCTGGGCGACGTCATGGATGACACCCTTGTGTCTTCTGTGGGTTGCCCGTGGATGGACCAAGTCCCTGTCCCCACCCATAGAGGTCACTAGCATTCCTTTTGGGGTCCCCCAAAGGCCAGGCAAAGAGAAAATGGACGGAAAATGTGGAGCTTTTAATTTACATATTTTTTTTCCTTAAATCTATGTATATAAAAGCGAAATACCCCTCACGCATCATCACAAAATCTCTAGAACTGTAAAGCCTACAAAATTGAAATTTGGCACGTATGTTACTCTTGGCTTCTAGGTGCTCACTAAGAAAGAATTTTTCAAAAGGACCATCAGAGCATCAGTATTTCATATATTATTATTATTAACACGCTCTGATGCTAAGGAGTTCTACTCCCCCCTCCCCACCTGAAAAGAAATCCATGCCAAATGCAAACACAAGCAGAGGAGTTTCAGTTTCAGAGCAGCAAGCAGCTTTAGTACAGAGCAGTTGAGCTAAGCCACGCCCAGGCTCCTTGCTGTCTCCTCCTTGCTCACACGGCAAATACTTTTTCAGTTTCCAAACAGCCCTCAACTCTCTGACAGGATGCTAGCCAGATGAATACCAATGGATGCTGGTAGGCAGAGGCACCAATTTTCTCCCCCTTATTTTTCTCCCCCAAAACTTGCTCGATCACATAGTTTCGTAGCGAAAAACCGGTACCTTGCTAGTTTTCAAATAAGATCCCCTTTCAGCTCGGATTCCCTGAAACCCTTTAAAAAAAAAAGTTCTAGTGATTTATAGCAACCCAGAATTAATTCTTTCCATCAGGGATATTCATCTTGAAATTTCAGGATCGGGGTGTGTACCTCAAAACCCTCCGTTCCTTCCTTAAAATTGCCCCAGAAAATGGACTCGGCCGCACGCTACAGCAATTGCCTTAATTCCCATTTAATGAATGCAATATTTACACTGAGATTAAATTAAAGCCAGCATAGGTTAGGTTTCCATTGGGAATGTCTTCCTTTCCAAGCTCACGCCCTCGCTCTCAGTCCCTGGCATGCCTTCCATCCAAATGATTAATCCCGGGGGGTCCTCGAATTACGACCACAATTGAGCCGGAAACTTCTGTGGCTGAGTGAAACATTTGTTCGGTGAGTTTGGTCTCGCTTTACGCCCTTTCTCGCCGCAGTTGTTGAGTGAATCATGGCAGTGTTAAGCTCGTCACACATTCGCTAAGTGTTCTGATCCAAACCCTTTTCCAATAAGACAAACAGTAACCAAAGGGAACAGAAACCTTTTAATGAGTCTTACAAATCCTCGGTTAAAAGGCTGCTGCAAACTAATTAAGTTTGATAAGCACAAACCTTGCCAAAACTGTATGAGACGGCCAAGAATCACAGATAAGAAATATTTCACAGCACAAGAGTCTTCAAATACCAACTTAAAATACTGTAATGTCCACGAGGCTGAGTTTCAAAACATCTTTGCTTCCTGCAAAGAACATTCGCTGCACAGTTGCCTTTTATGTTCTTGAAGGAGGGGCCATTACCTTGCAGCCTTACTCCCGAGTCGCCTGTGCTGTTGTAGCTGCTCTTTCCTGTGAGCAATCCTGCGTGCACTCACACTTGGCACAGGCTCCTCGGGAACCTCCTCATCGCTGCTGCCAGCCCCCACAATCTCTGAAGGCAGCAGTCCACTCCCTGATGGTCCTGGCCCCTCATCTGAGTCCTCGCTCTCCTCAGCCGTCCGCACCTGCTCCTGGCTAACCACAACACTAAGTGATTCTGGCTTCCCCATTGACTTGGCTTATCCAAAGGTTGCAAAAGGGGGACACTGCAACCGTCATAAATATGAATCAGTTGTCAAGCATCTGAATTTCGATCACGTGACCATTGTGGATGCCGCAACGGTTGTAAGTGTGAAGTCCTAAGTCACACTTCTCAGTGCCATTGTGACTTCAAACAGGCACTAAACGAACCGTTGTAAATTGTGGATTGCCTGTAACATAAAAATTAGGGTTTGTGCATTCTTGTCCCAAAATTGAAAGCTGGTTGTGTAGGAGGGCTGCAGGGGGACGTGGTTGATTTTGTGTCATTTCCTTATTCACTTGCAGAGCCGGGAAACGATGTGGAGGATTCGAACTCAGTGGCTGATCCGCCTGTTCCAGGTTAGACCTCCTTGCCACGCATGACACCTGTCCTCAAGACAGTACAGGTAGTCCTTGACTTACAGCCATTTCCCACCGCTGTGAGACATTCACTCCGTGAGTTTTGCCCCATGTTACGACCTTTCTAGCCACCGTCGTTAAGCGAATCACTGCAGCAGATACGTGAGTTGTTAAGCAGTTGTTAAGCGGATCTGGCTTCCCCGTTGACGTTGCCTGTCAGAAGGTCGCAAAAGGGGATCACGGCACGATCCCCAGGAAGCTGCAACGGTCACAAGTCTGAACCAGTTGCCAAGCGTCTGAATTTTGATTGCGTGACCCCGGGGGACAGGGCAACCATCATAACTACGAATCAACTGCCAAGCGTCTAAATTTTGATCCAAGGACCAAAGTTTGTCCCTGTGAAAAAAAAGATGGTAAGCAGGGGTGGGATTCTACCGGTTCAGCCCGGTTCAGCTCAACCGGTAGTTCCGAGGATCAACTGGGAGCAAACCAGTTTGGTTACACGGTTGAATCACACCCCTGATTGTAAGTCCCTTTCTTCAGTGCCGTCATAACTTCAAGCGGCCGCCAAGGGAACTGTTGTAAGTTCGAGGACTACCGGTAATAGGCAGTATCGCCCAGTGGGTGGAGGGAAGACGAGAATCCCATGTCATTCATCTTACTTACTTTATTTTATTGTCATTGCACCTCGCACAACGAAATCAAACACCATCTTCAGTGCACGTCATAACCAAGAAAATCAACACAAACACACATCCTTCACCCTCCACACGTTGAATTGAAAACCCCCGACAACACTGCAGTAGACAGTAGAATTCAATAGAGCTACTGCCTTGCGATAGAAGCTGTTTTTCAGTCCGTTCGTCTGATGAAAAGAAGGACTAAGGGTGACATGATAGCAGTGTTCCAATATTTCAGGGTCTGCCACAAAGGAGAGGGAGTCAAACTATTCTCCAAAGCACCCGAAAAGAAGCAACAGGTGGAAACTAAACAATGAGAGAAGCAACCTAGAACTAAGGAGAAATTTCCAGACTATTAGAACCATTAACCAGTGGAACAACTTGTTTTCAGAAGTTGTGAATGCTCCAACATTGGAAGTTTTTAAAGAAGAGATTGGACAACCATTTGTCTGAAATGGTGTAGGGTTTCCTGCTTGTGCAGAGGGTTGGACTAGAACTGTGATGGTGAACCTATGGCACATGTGTCACACAGAGCCATTTGTGCCGGAATGTGAGCTGCAGGCAAATTTACCTCACTGCGCATGCGCGCACCTCACAGCTGATTTTCGGCGGGTTTGAGGCCTTTTTTGGCCTCCCAGAGGCTTGAGGAAGGCTTCTGCAGGCTTTGCAGGCCGAAAATTAGGCCTGTTTCATCACTTCCTGTTTTTCCGACAATACTGGAAGTGACAAAACGGGGCTAGTTTTCCGCCTGCAAAGCCTGCAGAAGCCTTCCTCAAGCCTCTGGGAGGCCAAAAAAGGCCTCAAACCCGCCGAAAATCAGCTGCAAGGCGCAGTGCAGTTAAGGGGGTGGGTGGGTTGGGATTGCGCACGCATGTGTAGTGGGCATGGGTGGATGCGCATTGCCTTCTGGTTGCTGGCGTGTGAGCGCGAGTCTGCAAGCATGCACACAATTTTTGGCACAGGATCCCAAAAAGGATAGCCACCACTGGACTAGAAGATCTTCAAGGTCCCTTCCAACTCTATTCTGATTCTGATTCTGCTAGATGGCCAGGAGCTGGAGCAAGACCCCATTGTGTAGCACCTGGGTCTCGAACCCGGGTTGACAGCTCTCCAGCTGACAAGCTCAGTGTCTTTAGTTTACTTTATGGCCATTGCCCCTCGTACAACAAAATTAAATGCCATCTTCAGTGTACATGATAACTATGAAAATAAACACAAAGACACATCCTTCACACTCCACACATTGAATTGAAAACCCCCGACACCGCACCAACACTGCACTATATAGCAGAATTCAAGAGAGCTACTGCCCTGGGATAGAAGCTGTTTTTCAGCCTGTTTGTGCTTGTTTTTAATATTCTGTACCGTCTGCCAGATGGTAATAGTTCAAAAAAAGGGTTCCCAGGATGAGATGGAACTTGGAGAATGTTTTGAACTTTCTTAAGGCAGTGGGAGCTGTAAAACTCTTCCAAAGAGGGGAGAGGGCAACCCATGATCTTATAGTGGACTATATAGAAGGAACAGATCAGATATCCAGCCCTTGCTTATCAATGGTGACCGAGGGAAGCAAGTGGCCGATTGCAAGTTTCTGAGTGTTACCCTAAAAGAGGACCTGACCTGGGGGGGCTCACATTGCAGCCCTGGTCAAAAGGGCCCAGCAGAGATTATACCACCTGAGACTTCTTAGGAAACAACAACTGGATGGAAAACTGCTGGTGACCTTCTACCGCTGCACCATAGAGAGAATTTTAACATACTGCACCTGTGTATGGTTTGCCAATTGCACAGAGGAAGAAAGGACAGCACTCCAGAGGGTTAACATCATTACTCAGAAGAACATTTGGTTGTGTGTGCACGTGTGAGGTTGGATCGCATGCGGTGCGATGGCCCCATTCTCTGTCGCAGCCTCGGGCCCTCAGCGGGGATCTGGAGAAACAGACCAGGCCGATGCGCCAGTGTTTGCTTCCCCGCTGTTTTTGTTTTAGCGAGGTCAGTGTTGGGTCTGAAGGGGCCGCCAAGCTGAATGCTGACCTTTACGGGACAGTCAGCCTCTTAATGGGGATTAAGCTTGACAGAGGGCAGCAGAAGGATCCTTGTTCCCAGACAGCGACCGGCGGCTGCCCGGCATTCTCTCTCAGAGGCAACAACGTATTCACAAAATGGCGCCTAGAATAGGGATTGGGCAATTAATTTTCCTTACATAGCAATAGGGACAATAACATTTAGGCTCGTCTAAATGTTATTTCAGCAAGGGGTTCTCTGCCCGGTTGCTGGATGGGCCTGGCCACGGTGGGATGGCCTATCAACTGAGCTTCAGCTGAGCTTGAAAAACAGGATACAAAGCACAGCCTAAACACCGGGCAGGCGAATGGGCCCAACAGCCGATCGTTGGAGCTGCCGGGTCTCCTGAACCAGCCTGAACCGGTAGAATCCCACCCCTGTTGTTAAGGGAATCTGGCTTCCCCACTGACTTTGCTTGTCAGAAAGTCGCAAAACTGAGTCACTTGCCAGGTATCACGTGACCATGGGGGATGCCGTGTGAGGTAATGGTCGTGTGAAAAATGGTCATAAGTCCCTTTTTT